CCTGTGCTGTTGCTGCAGACGTACCACTTGGTTGTGTGCCAGCTTGTACGGCAAAGGGGCCTGACATCGCCGTTAACGGCAACGATGGTTGTGCTGGTAGTCGGAATCCTGGCTTTGTCAATGCATCCAGGATCTGGTCCAAAGTGCTTTGCATGAAGTTCGTCCTGCTGTCTACGTGCGCATGCAGTGACAACATGTTATCCCTCAACACTTTCAGGGTGTCAGACAAACACGATTTGTCCAATCCCTCTAACGCAACCTTGTCAGCCTCTAACGTATCAAGTCTGGCCGCTCTACTTTTTATCTATTTTTCTCTATCGGTTGCTTTCTTCAGATCCTCCTCTAACTGCTGGCGGAGCCTCTCGACCTGTTGGATCTCTCTGAGCTCCCTCTCACGTGGGGTCAATGGGCTGAACTGCGAGCCCGCCATTTGACTAGAAGACTGTCTAGACCCTGTTGAACCGGAAGTGCCCGAGGAACTCGTGGAACTCAGTGGCATTCCCAACTGAGTCCCACTAATCCCTAACGAGGACGCAGACAATGACGCAGCAGAGCTGGTACCGTTAGCCATTGCTGCTGCTCTGGCTGCTGTTGCCCGCTCCCTTGCTACTCTGCTTGCTTCCTGTAGTCCTGCTGCTAGAGCACGGGCTCTACGTTCGGCACGAACCCGTCTTTCTTCTCCCTCGTCCAAGGTCCTGAACACATGCGGAACCCTAAATGCTTCCGAACGTGTAAGTTTCCTATTGTCAGCTCTATCATCAACAGGATCTGATCCACTCATTAGTTAGGCAGATAGTTTCTGCACTAGAATCCCCTAGTGTAATCCTACCACAACATGTATCTGACCGACACCTAATTTTCTAACAATAGTTGTGTCCGGCGAGTATCCTACTATACCGAATCAAGTGGCATGTCTACAACATTCACACAGATTGTCTACATAGTCTAGATGCACCCTGAATGGTTCACTTACAACAGCATTAGTTAGAACTGACTATGGTAGCATACTACAGTCCTACACAAATTCTGTCTGTGAGGTTAGCAGTCCGTCAACCAACTAATGAAAGGTACAAAAAGACAACGTAGCAGATGTATGATTGATGGGTATGGTTGTGTATACAGTTGAGCACCAATTAGAACCTACCCTCCCCTCCATCCAACATACCGAACAACATCATTGAGTGAGCAGTGTCTTCGTGTGTGAATCGGCCCACCCCTGTGCCCAAGTTGTCACCGAGCAAGCCAGCCCAACCACTCTTATTTACCCTCGTACGGCGACGAGCCTTCCTGTCCATGTGATCTGGCTGATCAGGAGGTATTTATAGAGCTCCCCCATCTCTTCAGGAATTCTTTAACGTCGCAGTCAGGACGACGATCACAGCTAGATTCACAATGAACTCCCAACCAGAAATATTTATAGACGGTCTGGTAAGCGTCTGTCATGGGCTGGCACACCCGGAGGAACTTCTATTAGCGCAGCAAGCTATGTATCCCCCTCGGCGGCGGACATCTGCGGACGCGTCCGCGGCCGCGGCTCCGCGGACGCGCGGACCCGTGGCGGCCGATAGGGAGGTCCGTTCGGAATTCCGAAAACGGCTCCTGGCGGCGCATCGGCGTCCCTAGGCCTGCGCACCGAAAAAAAATACAAAAAGTAATTTTCAGTGGGGGTCACTTTTGGTTCCCTATGACCCCCCGAAAAAAAATACCCCCACCCCCTTTTTGCGATTTTGTCGAAGCGGGGGTGTTCGACACGTCGCAATGTACGTGTCGACCAGAAAAAAAATAAATTCCGGCAGTGGTTGGGGGTTTGGGGAGGGGGTTATTCATTATGGGCTTTTGTTGCGTGTTGGGGTGGCAAATGGTGTGGGTTGGAAAAAGTAGGTTGGTGGGGACAATTTGGGGGGCGCCCGTTTGCTGTCGGTGGGGCCCGTTACGGTGGGGCCCGTTTGGGTGGGGCCGGCTTGGTGGGGCCCTTCTGCTGGTTATCTCATCCCATTTGGTGGGGCCCGTTTGGGTTGGTAGGGCCTGTTTGGGTGAGGCACATTTGGTGGGGCGCGTTTGGGTGTGGCCCGTTCGGGTCGGGCCTGTTTGGGTGGGGCCCGTTTGGCGGGGCCCGTTTCCCGGTTATCTCATCCCATTTGGTGGTGCTCGTTTGGGTTCGTGGTGCCCGTTTGGGTGGGGCCCGTTTGGGCGGCCCATTTGGTGGGGCCCATTTCGGTTGGTCCCGTTTGGTGGGGCGCGTTTCGTGGGGCCCATTTGGCCGGTGCTCGTTTGCAGTGTGGGCGGCCCGTTTGGTGGGGCCCGTTTGGTGGGGCCCATTTAGTGGGGCCCGTTTGGTGGGGCTCGTTTTGTGGGGCCCGTTTGGTGGGGCCCGTTTGGTGGGGCCCGTTTGGGTGGGGCCGGTTTGTTGGTTATCTCATCCCCTCTGTTGGTGGGGCCCGTCTGCTGGTTATACCATCCCCTATTTGGTGGGGCCCGTCTTCTGGTTATCTCATCCCATTTGGTGGTGCTCGTTTGCGGTGTGGGCGGTCTGTTTGGTGGGGCCCGTTTGGGTGGGCCCCTTTGGTGGGGCTCGTTTGGTGGGGCCCGTTTGGTGGGGCCCATTTGTCGGGGCCCGTTTGGGTTCAAGTTCATTCATTTCTTTTCGCATGGTGGGGCCCGTCTGCTGGTTATCTCATCCCATTTGGTGGGGCCCGTTTGGGTTGGTGGGCCCCGTTTGGGTGGGACCCGTTTGGTGGGGCCCGTTTGGGTGGGCTCAAGTTCATTCTTTTTTTTTCGCATGGTGGGGCCCGTCTGCTGGTTATCTCATCCCATTTGGTGGGGCCCGTTTGGGTTGGTGGGGCCCGTTTGGGTGGGGCACGTTTGGTGGGGCCCGTTTGGGTGGGGCCCGTTTGGGTGGGGCCCGTTTGGGTGGGGCCCGTTTGGGTGGGGCCCGTTTGGGTGGGGCCCGTTTGGGTGGGGGCCGTTTGGCGGGGCCCGTTTGCTGGTTATCTAATCCCATTTGGTGGTGCTCGTTTGGGTTCGTGGGGCCCGTTTGCGGTGTGGGCGGCCCGTTTGGTGGGGCCCATTTGGGTGGTTCCCGTTTGCGGTTTGGGCGGCCCGTTTGGTGGGGCCCGTTTGGTGGGGCCCGTTTTTTTGGTGGGGCCGGTTTGGGTGGGGCCTGTTTGGTGGGGCCCGTTTTGGTGGGGCCCATTTGGTGGGGCCCGTTTGGGTGGTGGTTATCTCATCCCATTTGGTGGGGCCTATTTGGTTTGGTGGGGCCCGTTTGGGTGGGGCCCGTTTGGGTGGGGCCCGTTTGGTGGGGCCCGTTTGCGGTGTGGGCTTCCCGTTTGGTGGTGTGGGCGGCCCGTTTGGTGGGGCTCGTCTGCTTCGATCACTTTCATGATGTACACGGTGACATTATGCAATCACTTTGACACACAACGAAACAATGCATCGTCCACACCGTCACATCATTCATCCAGTTTCACTAACTTTGACACACAACGTTAAGGCAAACACACAAAAAATAAATGAAAATYCATTGGCAATATGAAACAACACGATCATCCAACGGGAGAGTAAAATCAGTKYAACTGCTGAATGACACAAAAAACATGTCACATAAGAGTCAGATCCCCGGATGCACAAAAGTCTCGTCGGAACAAACTCCTCTCATGTATCATAAATGCCACCCACCAAACAAAGTGAAATAGTTGTCACTGTTGTACACTCACAAAAGCGGAGATATAAAAACCCTACCGCAAATAACTGAAAAACTAAAGTACATGTGACGAACTAAGACAACAACTGCTCCTGCCATGACTCCTATCCACCTACATTAAAAACTAGATAGTCTCCATATGTGCAGAAGTCGTCCTCTGGGATTAAAAAAAAATAAAAAACAGTTGTCAGTAGTGTACACATGTCTCGCAAAACCAAAGACATAAAAACCCTACCACAAGTGACTGCAAAGCTAAAGTACATATGAGCAACTAAGATGGGAAACTGCACTCACTAGTATACACTACTATACCGATGTGTCACAAAAGCGAAGATATACTCGACCCCGCCACAAAGAACTACAAAACTGAAGTACATATGAATCGCGTCTAAGAAAACAAATACGAAGCTCCCTCCGAAAAAATAGGAAATATCCAAATCAAAACCACAGTACATATATCTACCGCCCCCCGCCTCTGCCGCCTCTGCCGCCTCTGCCGCCTCGTCCACGTGTCGGCGGTGCCATGCGTGTCTGTGCCGCAACCAATCTCTCTCTCTCTCTCTCTCCCTGCGCCTAGCAACCTCGATGGGCTCCTCCTCCGTATCGGCATCCGAAGTGCGCGCCGCCGCCAACCTCCTGCGCTCCCTGTCAAACTCCTCGTACGACTCCCTCAATCTCGCCTCCTCCCTAGCAATACGAGCCTCCAACTCATTCATGCCGCTGTGATGTCGCTCTCCGTGAGGTGCCGACACTCCGTCCTCTCAACAAGTGTAAAACGCAGGTGCAGCCGTGCGTGAACCTAAAAGCATGCCCCTGCGAGTGTCGTGTCCAGGCTGATCGAGAATGCGATAAGCAGTCGTCAAACTCGGTGTCGGCCTGTGCTCCTCCGAGTCCTCCCTCAACCGCGCCTGGTGCGCCGCGAAATCACTCCTCACTCTCTCGTCAACTCGTCGCACTATGCTCCACGAACGGTGAAATGACTGCTGTGTGTCGAGGCGAGGTAATGACGACGTCGGCACGTGGCCTCTCCCGACAGCTCTACCCGTAACTGGCGTCGGAGTGCTGTGGGGCACGGTTGGTGGAGGAGGTGTGAGTGAAGTGGTGCGAGTCCTGTGTGCACCCCGAGCCGGTGCCATGGCGGACTCCGAACGATGCTGCTCGCGCTCCAAGCTCGCCGGAGAGCCAGAATACCGAGGGGTCACAGGTGTGTACAACGGAGGCGATCGAACCTCGACCCCAAGAGATCCTGCAGCTCCCCTGCTAATCGGATCCTCCACTCCTGCACGGTGCAACGCATCAGGGTCGAGTGGCCCAGGTGTAATCTCCCCCTCCTCCATATCTGCTCTGGCGTGGTCCTAAAGGTCAGGTGGTATACCGCCCTCCTCCTCCTCATCGGCACCGCCTCCTCCCTCGACATTCTCTGACGAAACGTTGTGCGCCACCGATGAAGGATGCCACAACACTAACGCCAAAGACGTACTGCCTCCGACCTCCTCCGGATCATCAGTCTGCAGGTCCATGTCGTCACCCCCAATGGGGCCGTGTGACAATCGACCTGGACCGGCACTAGGCAACGGTGAAAGTCGCCTCGCAGTATCCGCCCCATCATCGGCCTCCACACCGGGTCCACGCCCTCTGTCCCCATGCTCGTCAGAATCACCCTCCATACGAACTGCCTCCTCAGTCCGTACATCATCGGGCTGCAACGTGTCTGCCGCACGAAATCCAAGTACGACGTCGGACACGGCAGGATCTCCATGCTCTGACACGGTCGGATCACGGTGCCCCTCAGTCTGTGCAAGGTCAGGTGCAAATGGATCGTGATGCTCCACCCCGCCCGGATCAGGTACTACAGCACCGGTCTCCAAATCCCGAGCACGCTGCTGCTCCGCCATGTACACGGCTCTACCCGCCCACTCTCTCTGCAACACCTCCAACCGCTGCTCCTCCTCTCGATCCAAGCGGGCATGGAGCTCCTCCGTCAACTCCGGTACACCGGCCTCCGTAGGACGATACTCGACGTCATCCCCCACTCTCTCTCCCCTGTGGCCCCGTCCTGGAAAACCGGTGTCAGAAAGTCCGTGTTCGAGTCCAGGAAAGTCACTCGTGCATAGGTCTGTCTGCTCCCTGTCCCCTGGAGGTGCCGAGGCGGGTGTGTGCTGGCTCGGCATATGCTCATCGGCTGTAATGTCATCCAGGTGGCCGGACACCTCGCGTCTGACGCCCGTGGACGAGTCGGCCTGCGTCTGCAACCGTAGTGATCTCCTAAGACCCTCGGTGGCGGACGGAGCTCTGTCGCTCGTCATGCGTGCTCTGTGAAAGACCAATGGCACGCCGTCGTCGTCGTCGTTGTCGTCGTCATCCGTGCAGGCCGGCCTTGCGTGCTCCCTCTCTCTCTCAGCACTGGGCTGAGCAGGTAATGAAGTACGTCCTCCCTCGTCGTGTGTGACCCCTCCACTAGGCTCGCCTGTAACACCTCCACTCGCGCCTCGTGCAGCACGTCCCGTCGGCCCACCAGTACCACCCCCACTAGGGGAAAAGGAATCGTCGTCGCTCTCCTGAATGACGGTGCAGTGTGGCTGAAAACCGTCCGGTCCTGCACCGTACGTGTAGTAGAGTCTCTCGACACTCTTATCTACACCGGGCGGCAAATCCTCCGTGTCGGACTCCTGCTCCAACGTCTCCGCCGACTCTGCTGGCGGTGGGGGCACATAGTCGTAAGGATGAAGTGTCTCGGCTCTGGGACCGAAAACCTCAGCAACTCGCTCCGGACGACGAGAACCCTGCTGCTGGAATCGGCGGACCTGTGCACTAACCTCGTGTGCGGCCACTGCCGACCGAGGTCGGGCTCCCCACTCCTCTGGCTCAGGCTCCTCCTCATCATCCCTGTCGGCGGTGGTCGGGGTGTGTGTGTACTCGTCAGGGCGCGCCTCAGCCAGGGTCTCCATGTGGCCCCACGGAAGAACGTACCCCCCGCTGCGGTCGCTGCAGCCAAGTAGTTTGAGATTGGTAGCAATCTCAACTAACTGTGTGACCTTCCTGAACTTGAGCTTGTTGCGCTTGGCCGTCTGGATGCGCTCATGCTCTGCCCAATTCCTCTCAGCAGGAGAGGCGGACGTCCACATGTGCATCACACGGCCAGCGATCTCGTGCAAGTCCGGGAAGCATGCGCCATGCTCCACCCACCATGACGCGCACCTGCTCGTCTCCTCGTCCCCTACACAGGCCTCCGCCTCGGCGTCCCTCGTCACCCTGTCCGTCGTGTGGCCAACCCTGGAGTGGAAGGATCGCATCTGCTGACGCACCCGCAAGTATGCATCCCCCGCCGCATCACCGCCTGTCTGCGCTAGGAAAAACGAGTCGCACTCGGTAATGACCTCGAGGTCCGCAGCTGTCCTGCGGGGGGACTCGTAGTAACGGAGGGAGCGCCTGCGGGGGTTGAGCAGGTGCACCGCAGCGTGCGCCGGCTCAAGCATATGCATGGTGCGGATCTGCACCGCCTCCACGCACGGCCTCTGCATGTCATCAGGGACGTCAACAACAGCCACCTGTCGCGCCAACTCCTGCGACCATGAGTACATCATGGACATGATCATGCCGCCTCTGTCCAATCTCCTCAACAGCTGGTGGACAGGGGTCATGACAGAGACAGCATACTGAACGTTGCACCAGAAATCGGCGCACCGGATGACCTGCCGAACCCAGAGAGCCTGTCTGCGCTTCGACGACTCCCATGGGATCTTGTCCCACTCGTCGTCATGAAGCATGCTCTCCAAGGCGTTACGCCTGGCGAGCAAACACACAAACATAAAAAAAACGAACGCGAATTGCGTCTCCACAGGGTGCACAAGCGTGCGGCGACGACTCTTCACCCTGAAAAGGTGATAAGCCGCGCCGTGCGATTTAATGAATCGCACCAACGCTCGAGCTCTGACAATGGTCTCCGTAACCCAAGGAACCCCTGTGCCGATGTCAGACAACATCAAGTTGGCCACATGGGTGGCACAGGGGAGCCAAGTGATACGGCGGATCTCCGGATCGGGGTCCTTTGCAAGGAGCTTTGCGGCGGATGTATAGTTCGACGCAGAGTCCGTGCAAATGGCCAACACGTCCTTCGGAGGGAGAGATAAAAAAATGGCCTTCCATCTCCTCAGGACGATCCGTGTCGTCTCGGCCACTGAACCGTCTCGCTGGACGGTGACGTACAACAGGGCGCCGCGCTTGGCGGCCGCTAGGAAGTTGACGATAGGCCTCGCGTCTCGCCATTGCCTACCGTCCGACAAAATGGTGGCCCCCACCGACTCGAATGAAGCACGGACCTCCATCAACATCCCCGCAACCTTCCCCCGCTGATCATCGATACCACCGCCCCCAATGTCCTTGAAGGACGGATAGACAGGCCGCACTCCGTGAGACATGGCGGCCAACGCCTTCTTGTGCCTATACCATAACTGCCTCCTGAAAGCATTAAATGGTATACCACTATCGTAGCACCACTGCAAAAAGGTGTCCCTGAATGCGGCCTGCCCATCTGAATCGTACACTTCATCCAGAGTGGACTGCCGCTGTCTCTTGTGCGCCTGCGGCACGCCCTCAACTCCACTGCCCACCGACCTCTTCCCCACTCAGCCCGGTGCGTCCCCCTCATGACGGTGAGCGGCGCTTCTCCCTTGCGCAGTCATGACCACCTCCTCCCCCGACAAATCCTCTGCTGCGGCTGTCCCTCCACCCTCCCCAGCCTCTGCTCGCCTGGCCTGCTCGTCCAGGAACCTCTCCACCTCATCCACAGGATCGAGCTCCTCTGCTTGCGACTGCGACGCTGCCGTCCTCCCCCTGCCACTGCCTCGCTGGACGTCCACAACTCGTCTATCCACAGTATCGTGCTCCCTCATGTAAGCCACGATACCGCGGTGATGTCGGTTATGGAACTCGTAATCCGTGTGGTTCCAAATGTCAACGAACACGTCCATCGTCGCCGCCGAGCACCTCTTCATCTGTGTGAAGTGGCGCTGTGCCTTGAACAAATTCCCCTGCCAGACATGCTTGCAATAATTACAGCGCAGCTTATAGTCCCCATGCCTCTTCTCCCATGTTCCCAACCTCTGACCCTGCATCACATGACGCCACACTCTCGACTTCCTGCGCAGCTTGTCCATGACGACGTCGCTCGCAGGAACGAAGTCATTGCCCCCTGAACCGCCGGCACCACCCGTCATTTCGGACGTTGACGTCCGCAACCCCTCCAAACACCCCCCCCCCTGGAAACTAGACCCCCGACCACGCAGCCGTGTGAAAACGCGGCCTCGTCAGCCCCCCGATGTCGTCTGGGGGAGCTGCCGCGGTCGTCGCCGGTCGCTCGCGTCGCCGAAAACGCACGTGCGCCGGATGCGCCCGCAGATGCCTGAGACACAACAACAAAAAACAAAATCCTGTCAATCAATCAATCAATCAATCAATCAATCACAACCAATCAATCAAATCAAGATCCTAGGATCTTGAACCAATCCTAGGATCTTGATTTCTCTCTCTCTCCCACACACACACACACACACACACACACACACACACACACGAAAAAAAAAAAAAAAAAAAAAAAAAAAA